TTACCAGTATTACAAACTCTGTGTTGCCATAAACTACACGAATCACACTGTAAGGCATGTTGCTTTGTTGTCACTTTTCTGGAACACTCGACGCAATGGTCGGTACCCATGTTGAGAATGATATGGGAATTTTTTTTCCATGTTATTTTATAGAACTATATGGCAAGATCAAAGAAATCTCTGTTGTTTTTTCAATTTTACTCCACATGTATTTTTAGATATATGTATAATAAATGTTTGCCTCGGCTTGCATTTCTAAAAACATTGTATCTGTTTGATGTGACCATTTAAATATAATTACTTTTCAATTGGTGAACCCATTAATAAAGAATTACAGATTAGTGAAATTGTTAAGAAGCCATTCACTGTCAATCAAATTTCTCTTTGTTTGTATACTAATTATGAACACCAAGGATTAAACATAATACAAACACGCACACACGCCAATCATTAAAACATCTTTTGTCAATAAAAATAATAAACGAGAAAATCACAATAATATTTCAAAAAGAAGTTAATTATCCTCATTCAAACATATCAAATTCAACTCATATAACACATATTTAATATGATGGAGCTAAGTTTTATTTGAATACATTTATATACAATGTTTTTTTCAAAAATATTTATCATAATCTCAAAATTCGTATATAATTCTTATATATAAAGTTTGTTTTTTATTAAAGTGAGAAAAAAAAAACCCACAAAACAATCTACTAATCGTAGTCCGAGTTTGTGCAATATATTTCCGCATATAAATAATGGTAGGCCGAGTTTGTTATAGTCCGAGTTTGTGATAGTCCGAGTTTGTGATAGGCCGATTTTGTTTTAGTCCGAGTTATCCAGCAGCGTTAAACAGGAATAAGATCATTTACTTACCTATAGCCAGGATTGGCAAAAGTATTACCTAGGCAGGAAAACCCAGGTGGACAATACTCCCAGAAATGGGTAATACTGGGCATTATTAATTAACTACACTGTTATTGGACTTAATATGATGAAAACTGCCTATGCAATATAAAGGTGTCAACTCGGCCAATACAGAATAACTCGGCCAATATAGATTTTTTTTCTGTATTGGCCGAGTTCTGATCCGGCCAATACAGGATTTCGGAACGTCTCTAGTTTTTAGATCGAAAGTCACGATAAACACAAACTGAAAGTAAACAGTTGTTTGGAAGACGCAGTTTTCATTTACTCACCATAAACATGCTGAAACGTTCAGTATGGCAATATATTTCAGGCTAGAGACGGTCACATTCATTTAAAAAGCATTTTGAAAGCAGACGATGGAATTATTTCAGGTTTGGGGGACGAGTAGACTATCACAAAGTTCATTTCGTGTCGACCTCATAATTTCACGATGGTACAAATCGATTTACTGTTTACTTTCGCTTCTCATGTTTTGTAAACTGTCTTTTTTTTTAAACCGGAACCAGGCATATGCATTCTGGAAGGGTGACCTGTAATTGTGCAAATCTTTGGTCAGTTGGCTTATGGATAGTTGTATCATTTTCAACTCCTACATTATTTTTTTTTAAATATATTCAATTTGTTTCTACATAACACATGCAATGGCAGTACCTTTCCAATTACTATTTGTGTGTTGTGTCTAAATTTAAATTGTAACACTTTATAGTGACTGGAAAGGGTAGACAAATTCATCAGATGAGAAAATGCTGAAGACACCTGGAAACGGCACCAGATCATTAGATATTGCATCTTATAAAAAGAAACTGAGATTTGGATAGTTCCACTTCAAGGTAAAAATGTTTATCTCTTGTGAAATGAAATAAAAAAAATATTGTAACACTGTAGTTAATTAATAAAGATACTATTACGTGTATTTCTGTATTGGCCTTGTTATTGGTCCTCGGCCAGTTGTATTGGCCGTCGGCTTCGCCTCAGGCCAATACAGCAAGCCTCGAACCAATAACAAGGCCAATACAGAAATACTCACGTAATAATATCATAATATAATTTTTCAAGCTGATATTTTACACAAAACAGTAAAGAAATATTGCAGTTTCAAAGTATTATCAGGGAATTGAGTCCTCAGGATGCAAAGTGATATTTAAATCTTTTTGAGAAAGTTTTACACATTTGTCTATGTGTGTTCCCTTATTGTACATTGTACATGTATGCATTGCTCATGTTGCTGAACCAATACTATATCAAATTTATACATTTTATCATGATTCTCAAACAAATGAACTTACAAATTAAATATAATGTCTTATATATATATATATATGTATCTTTAAATGTTTAATGTCATGAATGTACTGGATTTTGTCAATGACATTCATTATTTTGGACAACCATGCCTGATGACGTAACATATATAAAGTACACAATTATTGAATTTCAAAATGAACCGTTAAGTTTGTCTGCATTATGACTGCATATCCATTTGATATTGTCTAAAAATCATGACAGTTTCTAGCACTGTAAATATATCTCATCATGTGATATATCTCTACTCTCAGAATTTACAATTAAATTTTGAAAGATTAAAAAATAGATGTATGGATGTGTCGGAACGATACAAAAAGCCCTGCTTGCCATAAATGCTTAAAGCCTTTTTTAGGAGTGGAAATTTGAGAATGAAAGTCCATTTAATCAGCGGAGCAGAACCAAACGCAAACCTAATCTGCAACTCATCATAGAAGACTCACATAATAAAAATAATCTCAATATGTGAAGGCGTTTAGCAAAAAAAATCTGTATAACTGTTATTTTCACAAAATTTTCAAAGTCCAAAGCCCATATAATTTTGGCAAAAATCAGCAGACTCACAGTGGAATCAAACATAAACTCATTTAATATAGTAGACTTACATACTAAAAATCAGTCTCCAATATTATAACATTTATCATTTTCCAGCAAAATTTTTCTTTCTCTACATCATTACCATATTACATGTGAATTTTGTTGCTTTTGTGGAAACAATTGACCATAAAATTGAGAATGGAAATGGGGAATGTGTCAAAGAGACAACAACCCGACCATAGAGCAGACAACAGCCGAAGGCCACCAATGGGTCTTCAATGCAGCAAGAAACTCCCGCAACCAGAGGCGTCCTTCAGCTGGCCCCTAAACAAATATGTATACTAGTTCAGTGATAATGGACGTCATACTAAACTCCAAATTATACACAAGTAACTAAAATTAAAAATGATACAAGACTAACAAAGGCCAGAGGCTCCTGACTTGGGACAGGCGCAAAAATGTGGCGGGGTTAAACACGTTTTTTGAGATCTCAACCCTCCCCTATACCTCTAGCCAATGTAGAAAAAACAAACGTACAACAGTATGCACAGTAAAACTCAGACAGTTTAAGAGAAGTCCGAGTCCGATGTCAGAATAGGAAACAAAAGAAAATAAACAAAATGACAATACATGTAATACATAAATAACAACAGACTACTAGCAGTTACTGTCTTCATCATATGAATGTCAGGCACAATCCCTCCTGTTAGGGGTTTAGTATTATACCATCATAAAATATATGAGAAGAACATAACCCGTGTCATGCCAATAGCTGGTTTTAGAATAAATATGTTTAATTCCGATGCAAAGACCCTATAAGTGAATCAATATTAAAGCCAAAATATGCAATCTTTAATGACCTGACAACAGTATCGTAACTATATCCCTTCTTAACAAGTCTGTTTAAAGGTTTTGTTAGCATTTGAGGTGAATACTGACATTTTTGTGCTTTGTTAAGAATATTACCATAAAAGATTGGATGTGAAATACCCGAACGTATAAGATGTCTGCATGTTGAGTTATATTTACGAATGATGTCCTTATACCGATGATTAAATTTAGTAAATGTTTTGACTAGTTTATGATATCGAAAACCCTGGTGTAATAATTTTTCAGTAATACATAAATTTTCCTCGCTAAAATCTAATACGTTGTTACATACACGAGCGAATCGTACAAGTTGAGATATATAAACACCATAAGATGGTGACAAGGGAACTTCACCATCTAAAAATGGATAATTAACGATAGGAAATGAAAAAATCATCTCTTTTATCATAAATTTTTGTATTAAGCTTCCCGTTAATGATATAGATATCAAGATCGAGGAAAGGACAGTGGTCATTGTTAGTATTAGCTTTATTTAAAGTAAGTTCAACAGGATAAATTTCTTTAGTATACATACTGAAGTCGTCATTATTGAGAGCCAATATATCATGTATAAATATATACATTGTATACAGTATTATGACATCACTTTACAGGCATGACAGGTGCAAGATGTTGCATAATCATTTTGAAGGTTGAGGATGGATTTGAGTTAAATTTGATATATACATGTACTTTTAAACTTAGATGCAGCTGTCAACATGGTTAATGACTATATTTTGTCAAAAATTACTTTTCATGGAACATGGTTATAATTCATTAATTGTTGGCTTTCTTTTACGTTAGATGTCCTATACTAAACCAATCCAAACCCATTCATTGTACATAGCAATAGCACCATTGGCAATCAGCCCCGACCTTAAAACCTAACCCTTACCCAAAATAAACCATCTTTAAATGAACCCTAACCCTGAACTTCAGAGATCCCTTTTGTTTTTTGGTTATCTCAGAGTCAGTCCATACATCATCATTTATAAAGTTATTATAGAGACTGTCAGGTATTTGTCTTACTGTTAGTGGTAGTTATAACAGATCTCAATATTTTTTACACAGATATTTATTTAATAATTTTTTTAATTTTTCAAAGGATTTAAAATTAAATGTCTGAATATAATGACAAAACAATCAATGGACGTCGAATGTTACAATATGAAAAAAAAAATAACTACTGCAGTAAAAACTTCAAATGTTCAAATTATTGCTACTATTACTGACTTCGTCCTCTTCCGCATGTATAATATAATATATATTAAATCATAATAATCTGCAAACTGGTGAAAGTGTTTGATAATTTAACCAAATTAAATAATCTATGTGATTACTGAGATTAATTGGATTACCTGTGTGTCCGTCACAATATTTTCACCCATGAACACCTCAGGGTGGAGTATAATGTTATTCTTTCACGGGTGAATGACTTAATCTTTTACACTTCCGTGGCACATGTCGAACCGCCATATTGTTGTGCATAGAAACCAAACTGGTCGATAAGACGGCAATTCTGATTGGATAACTTTAAAAGGCGGTAATTATGTATAGGAGAAATAACAAATTAGTACAAAGGACAAGAAGCGCCCGAGAAAGACATGAATGTATATAAATATCAGCCCCAGTGTTGGAACCAAGATTGGGGGGGGGGGGGGGGGGGGGGGGGGGGGGGGGTTCGGGGGTTGAACCCCCCTTTTTTTGACGAACAATGCTTTTGAATGGGGACATATGGTTGGAACCCCCACTTTATCCTGGGTTGGAACCCCCTTTAAATATGGCTGGATCCGCCCTGAACCCTACATCCAGTATTTGAGGTTATGGGAAGTGTTTAACTCACCACACCCCAAAAAATGGATTTTTTTCGAATTTCAGGGAGCACTGCATGGATGACAGCCCCGTCTGACAAGTCTGATCCGCCGCCCTGAATATTCCTACCTTAGATGAGGGGCCTGATGGGTTATTTTCGTTCTTCGTGATCGGCGCATTTTCGCTATGGTGATCCGTTTTTCTACAGATTTTTATATTTTCGTGATCCGTGATCATGGAAATTTATTTTCTGTGAATCGTGATTGACAAAAAAATCCATGCCAAGAAATCCTCTCTAAAAATTCCGGTGGACCTCCTACGGCACCTATTAGTAGTTAAAGATTTGATTTCATTCAACAAATTAATTTATGACCTGCATGTATGTGTCGCTTAGAACACGGCCATATCATCGGCCAAATGGTCAATATTAATCATCCAGGTAATTTGCTCTATGGGATGTTTGCAAAATTTCAACGGAGGCAATTTCTTGGCATGACGAGACAGCTTCTCAGCGATAAAATAATATGTTTGAAAGAACTATGCACTTGGCTACCTTTTTTTCTTCAATTCGTTTTTAAAACGTCTTGGTTTCTTCAATTTCAATAATAGAAAATAAAACTATAATATACCAAACGAAAACTGGATAAAGTGAGAAACAAGTTTCTTTCATTGGTGAAAATTACTGCTTCATTGCTTATCTCAGAGTTCGAACTCTACACGTGGTAGGTAGCTTGGTTCGACTCCAATCTTAATTGACTAAGATTGACAGTTTCCTTGTCGAAGGTCAGTGGTTCTCTCCGGGCGTCCCAGCTTTCTACACACAAAAAGCTGTGCGCCAAGACATAGCAAATAATGATAAAAGTGGCGTTAAAGACCAACAATGAATACATCAATCATTGTATATCTTAGACGTTTCACACACATATCATAGTTTTGTTAAACACGAATCTATTTATTTGAAATTGAATTTGACAATAGCAATTTTCCCGCATCGTATAATGGTGAATCCGGATAACACTGTAATATGTGCCGCTGGACATGAACAAGCTTAACTTCTAATAATTTTTGAATAACTAGAAGAATAGATGAGTTTTAAAGCAGAACAATTTAAATTTTTGTCAGCTATTTTAGGGGAAAGCAATAGATAATGAGAAGATATTCAAGATTTCCAAGGATAAGGCAACATTGAAGGGGCCTGTCTTTAAAGGTTGGTGTGCCCATCATATTACATATGTGGCAACCTTTTGTTTAAGGCTTAAAACAAATTAAACTTTTCAAAGTTATTCAAGTTCCATTACTAACTTAATGTCGACACTTTATAATGTAGAATATCTATTTTAAACAGAAAAGGGTAATTTCTATTTCAAAAGATTGCAAAATTTCTGAGAATGAATAGAGCAGTCCCTATTCGAATGCAGCATTCGCTAACTTAGTAGACATGTCTTTGACAAGCAATACTTTGAACAATTGACAGTGTTTTTAACGATCCCATGCGCAAAAATGACAAAATTAAAAAACAGAGTACTGTCCCTGCTAACCTAAAGAGTGTAGGTTTCAGCTCGACAGTTCCCAATGAAGACATTTTTTTTTCAGTTAAAAAATTTGAGGTACATAGTCTACAAAATGAAACAAACGTTGAAAATCTGATGCTCGTCTTGGCGTATACTCAAGAATTTACTTATTCGGAACTGCTTAGACATGAAATGATGTCACAAGACACATGCAACCAGTCACGGCTTTTATAGAACGAGTTGCTCTTCATACACCTTTGACACATAGTCCCACAATGCCCTAATGTTCTAAAGCATAATACAAAATATCTTAAAGTCCAGTATAAAAGAAATAACATAACTAATAATTTTAACCAAAAAATTTGATATGAAAAAAAACCACAGATATTAAAAGTTTACATTCATTACAAATGACAGGAACTATATTTGTAGACAATCGATTACGAGCGACCAAACAGGTCATTTTTTGAAAATCAGATCATTTCGTCTTTTTCTATTTTGTTCTTTGAGTCTCATTTTTGCTTTTTTTTTACTTTATTATTCATGACATGAAACCTTAACTTCATGTTCTAAAACATGTACGTGTGCATTGTGCTTCAATGAAAAAATATGGGGTAAACGTCAATGAGACAGCCACCTAGTGACAGAAATAACCAAAAGACATGTGCTCGGTTTGACGGTAAACCAGATATATGCGAGATTCCCTCACAGGAGAAAGGAAGAAAGACCATTCACAATTTGTCTTACATTTGTTTTTCTCTCTTTTTATTAAATAAAAAAAAAAACCTTTCAAATGTTGAGTTCATATGATAATAATATTCCCTGTGGAACAACCCCACCCCCTTTCTTTTTTTTTTTTTTTGTGCTCTCCAATTTCAACCCTCAAATAAGGCTTTCCAATGTAATTAAAATTAAAACCTTGCTTTCTAACCAATCTATTCATATACCGGACCGGGAACTTTCTTTATTCAATAAGAAAATCTACAGTGCCGTTATATAAATGCGTGTTGTCTGCTTGGAGTCCCCGCACGAAAAGAAAGAAATAGCCTAACTCCAAGATACTACATTCTTGCATCACGTGATTTTTGCCACGTGGAGCTTACATTAGAATGAATACCGAATATGGAAAGTGAAACTACAATTCGAAACATAAAGTCCGAAGGCACATAGAAGAAATAGAAGGTTGTTTTTTTTTACAAAGGGTGCCGGGGTAATCTTCTCTGTGTTCATAATATACATGAAATATTTGCCACTGCCCCTTGTCTGTTCTATAAATTCTAACACTGAGTTTTCTATCTGTTACTGACGAGACAGCATCTCAGCGATAAAATAATATGTTTGAAAGAACTATGCACTTGGCTACCTTTTTTTCTTTAATTCGTTTTTAAAACGTCTTGGTTTCTTCAATTTGAGTAATAGAAAATAAAACTATATACCAAACGAAAACTGGATAAAGTGAGAAACAAGTTTCTTTCATTGGTGAAAATTACTGCTTCATTGCTTATCTCAGAGTTCGAACTCTACACGTGGTAGGTAGCTTGGTTCGACTCCAATCTTAATTGACTAAGATTGACAGTTTCCTTGTCGAAGGTCAGTGGTTCTCTCCGGGCGTCCCAGCTTTCTACACACAAAAAAGCTGTGCGCCAAGACATAGCAAATAATGATAAAAGTGGCGTTAAAGACCAACAATGAATACATCAATCATTGTATATCTTAGACGTTTCACACACATATCATAGTTTTGTTAAACACGAATCTATTTATTTGAAATTGAATTTGACAATAGCAATTTTCCCGCATCGTATAATGGTGAATCCGGATAACACTGTAATATGTGCCGCTGGACATGAACAAGCTTAACTTCTAATAATTTTTGAATAACTAGAAGAATAGATGAGTTTTAAAGCAGAACAATTTAAATTTTTGTCAGCTATTTTAGGGGAAAGCAATAGATAATGAGAAGATATTCAAGATTTCCAAGGATAAGGCAACATTGAAGGGGCCTGTCTTTAAAGGTTGGTGTGTCCATCATATTACATATGTGGCAACCTTTTGTTTAAGGCTTAAAACAAATTAAACTTTTCAAAGTTATTCAAGTTCCATTACTAACTTAGTGTCGACACTTTATAATGTAGAATATCTATTTTAAACAGAAAAGGGTAATTTCTATTTCAAAAGATTGCAAAATTTCTGAGAATGAATAGAGCAGTCCCTATTCGAATGCAGCATTCGCTAACTTAGTAGACATGTCTTTGACAAGCAATACTTTGAACAATTGACAGTGTTTTTAACGATCCCATGCGCAAAAATGACAAAATTAAAAAACAGAGTACTGTCCCTGCTAACCTAAAGAGTGTAGGTTTCAGCTCGACAGTTCCCAATGAAGACATTTTTTTTTCAGTTAAAAAATTTGAGGTACATAGTCTACAAAATGAAACAAACGTTGAAAATCTGATGCTCGTCTTGGCGTATACTCAAGAATTTACTTATTCGGAACTGCTTAGACATGAAATGATGTCACAAGACACATGCAACCAGTCACGGCTTTTATAGAACGAGTTGCTCTTCATACACCTTTGACACATAGTCCCACAATGCCCTAATGTTCTAAAGCATAATACAAAATATCTTAAAGTCCAGTATAAAAGAAATAACATAACTAATAATTTTAACCAAAAAATTTGATATGAAAAAAAACCACAGATATTAAAAGTTTACATTCATTACAAATGACAGGAACTATATTTGTAGACAATCGATTACGAGCGACCAAACAGGTCATTTTTTGAAAATCAGATCATTTCGTCTTTTTCTATTTTGTTCTTTGAGTCTCATTTTTGCTTTTTTTTTACTTTATTATTCATGACATGAAACCTTAACTTCATGTTCTAAAACATGTACGTGTGCATTGTGCTTCAATGAAAAAATATGGGGTAAACGTCAATGAGACAGCCACCTAGTGACAGAAATAACCAAAAGACATGTGCTCGGTTTGACGGTAAACCAGATATATGCGAGATTCCCTCACAGGAGAAAGGAAGAAAGACCATTCACAATTTGTCTTACATTTGTTTTTCTCTCTTTTTATTAAATAAAAAAAAAAACCTTTCAAATGTTGAGTTCATATGATAATAATATTCCCTGTGGAACAACCCCACC